CCTACAGGACCCAATATGCAGGCAAGCCGAAGGAGCAGCCCACAAGACCCACCTACAGGACCCGTTTGCAGGCAAGAACCTGGCCGTTGGGAAGGACCAGAAGCCAGAATAGCAGCAATTGGCCATTCTCTGCTCATTAGCTATTAATTGCAATTTACTACCCCTGGCTTCTGATCCACTTATGAAGTGCCTATTCAAATCAAATAAGCACTTTGCAAGCTGCCTTTTTCTTGGCAATGGGGAGAAATTTGGGGAGGCAGTCATTTCCATCTCTCTGCAGTTATCCCAGCTCCTGGTTTCTTGTCTACAATACTGTGTTTCCTTTTTACCTTCTGACTCCTGCTACAAGGAAGTGATGTCTGAACTGGATCTGCTTTTCCAGACGAGTCTTAGATGTTCCCTCCCTTCTCCCTTCCATGTGCTGACAGTCCTATTGCTCTTTCCTATCATTGACTCTGCCCTTAACTCCTTCAAATTTGATGCGTCATTCTAGTGAAGTTTCAGACAGTTGCAGCCTTTTCTATAAAATAAGAACTGTTTCTGTGGAGTCCAGCAAGTTTAGAAACCATATCTTTGGTACATTACTGCTGACTTAATATTTCTGTGTATAATCTATACTGTGCTTTAGGACTCCTAACACAGCTTCTTCACTCAAGTGCCCTTCAGTGGTGAGGGGAGATAATTTGCTAGCAAAAAGACCTTTGCATGTATTTCTATGGTTAGATGCCATAGCCAGTTTTATTTAGTCACCTTCAGGCACTGTGTCAGGGAGAATGTTCCTACCTGACATGTTTTAAATATAGGAAAATATATTAGATTGAAGTTTTGCATTCGTCCAGCCTTAGTCAAATGGTCTGGCCTAAGTTAGGTTGGGTCTCTTCACTGATGAGAGGATGCCTGCTAGACTGTTTGGGAAGTGTCTTCGTGAAGTTTCCCTTTAGCCACACTTATATTAAGGATACTTCTTTCATAGTTCATGAAGATTAATAATTGATTGTGATGTGATATCACAAATGTTTAATCAATTGCTGAACTCTGGCTCAATAGATCAGGCACTCACCCTAACCGTAGCTTGCGACTATTGTGTTCAGAATGACCTGCATATTTTTCTCCACATTTTTTCCTTTCAGGACAAACAAATAGATTTTTTTGTGTGATTATTGTAGTTCTTTTTTATTCATTTGTTTAATTGGCACATGATTGTTTAAAATATTTTCAAAAATTTTCCATGGTTGGGTTTCTGAGCTTTGTTTAGCTTAAAACTTAAACAAACAAAATTGATGAACTATATATCATTTTGCTCACCTCAAAAGTCCATTTCTGGCAAATAATGTATCATCCAAACAATCTGTCTCATTCTATTTCTAATCATTCCCAATGAACACTTCTCTAGTCTCTGTATTCCTATAATATTATGTCCATATGTATTTTTATAAAAGTACTGCTAAGAGATCACATACAGTCAAGGTCTGTTCATTGATTTCTTATGAAGTCCTGTGTGTCCTGCACTGCTAATCCCAGGTGACTAATGATAGGCCAAAAGAGTCCGTTTCTTCCTCCGGACTGCACTTGTGCAGAGTGCATGAGGTACAGGGCAACAGTGATTTTTGCACTATTTTACACCTCATTTGCACAGAATAATGTGATCAGACAGACTACAGCAACAGCGAAGTAAGTCTTCGCATGGGTGCACCTGCATACGAGTCTGTATTTGTTTTATGCTCCTCTCAAAGTATCTGGTGAGTAGCTGAACATTTGGATATAGTATAAAGATGTAGTGTTTATTCCCTGTAAGCTACTTGTTACTCACACCTGCTTTTAACTTTATAACAGACATATGAGAGTGCTGGGCACACATTTCTTTAACACCTAGATGCTAGGCAACAGAATTTCCTTATAGCAGCAACTCACAAAAACACGCTTGAATACTGCTCTCATCACCACTCCCTCAGCACCAAGGAATTTACCATAGTTTATGCATGGAGCTGCCAGCTGCCAGTCATTAATCCTGAATATTAGACATGGAGGAGTAGAAGGGCACTAAAGTCTAAAGGCCAGGGACATTTTGTATTTGTACAATGTCCTGATCAGGGCCTTAATAAGTTGCTGATTTTTACGTCAATCAGAAACCGCAGCAATCTACCCTTCTCCCAAAATAACACTGATTCTGGAAGCCATAACTAGGAGCATCCTTATCCCTATTCAGTGCCGTATTGTTTGGGTATTAAGAGTTCCCCAGTAAAATACCTTAATACAGAACAACTCATGTAAGTTCTTTAGAAGATATTTCAGTTGTTGTTTTGCTCATTTTATTCTAATTTTCCACATCAAATAGGAAGTTTAGACTTCCATGGGCATCACTGAGAGTCTGAGTTATGATTTTTCAGCAGCAGCAAAGCTAGTTGTGTTGGCCTCTGGGCTCACATTATCTCATCTGTAGTATGTATGTTTAGCCTTTTCTCCATGGCAAGAACTAACCAAATATTGCATCACTAAAAATACAGTTCTTAAGATAGGAAAGGCTGAAGACTAGTGTCTTTGTGCCCCTGGCACATCTCACCCACCCTGTTGGGGACGGTCCTTGCAGCATCTCACATTCCAGCAGCAAGGCACCCCTTCAGCTCGTCTGGAAAACGGCAGAGTGGCAGGCCCTGCTGGCAGTCACAAGGCAGAAGTGCTGGCCCTCTCTCCATAAGGAAGGATTTCCCATTGTTTCTCCAAGGGTTTTGGAAACCCCCCATACTACCACCACACAACTGCCCTGTCACTCTCCGTGTCCTTCACCGTGCTTAGCAGCCAGGATGACTGAGCTTCTGGTACTAGCCCTGCCACTCTGTACTCACCTTAAAGAACCACCGAGGACATGCAAAATCCAATTTTATAGACCTCTAACTCAAAGGCATTAAAACTTTTTTCCTACCAGTATTTCAAGGCAGGGAACAGTAACCCTAGAACAACTACCATGGAGGCAGCATTTCCATACATAGTGCAGGATACGATGGGGTGTGCAGAGATAGTTGTAGTATATCCACCCAGCTACGTACATTTTCCACACTAGTTCTGTGTGAATATGGGGTAAGCTATATACAATGTGTAGATTTCACTAAGGATAAAATTTGAAGAGCCTGTGATCATTCTAGCAGGACTGAAATTCCTGTTGTTTAATTATAAAACTGGAAAATACATTATAGGATCATTAACATATATTAATGCAAAAATGCACAACCCAAAACTGTCCTAGTTCCCTGTCAGTGAACGGTCCTCAATTACATAAAACAAAATCTGGCCCCCAAAAAACCTTACTCAAAACCAACAGAATCCTGATTAGAAAAATCTCCATGTAAAAACTATGCACACATCAATCCCCTCAGGCTAAAATGATGCAGTTGTACTGTACTTTACAATGTAGTTGAGCTGCTGTCGGGCTTACCTTGCATGACTCATGGTGAATCATGGACAAAAGGGTGTCTTAGAGAAAGAAATGCCGCCCACACAGAGCGGTGCCTTGAGTTATTCCCACCCTATTTCTTCCCCCTCCAAGGGAAAACACATTTGTTCACATGCAGCATTGCAGCTATTTTGTTAACACAGTCACTTAGGTTATTTCTGTATGTTTCTAATGGGAAGGCTTTTCAGTTTGTTAATACTGTGATATAATTAACAGTTGGGGACATCAGGTCAAATCTAATCCCCAGCCATCTCAGAGCAATGCTCCATCTGTAGCATGGGGGAGGGTAGAGGTTAGTATTATATGACACAATTGATTCAAAAATAATTGTAACAAGATAAAATAACAGCATCATTATCAACAAGAAAGCAACAGCAAACAGGAAATCAGCATCCATGAACTAAAGCATAAATCCAGGTACTGAAAGAGCCTCATCCTAAAAACATCCACAACTCACTGATTCCAGTGACAGCCCAGGGTGTCTCAGAATTAGTAAATTCATAAAATTTTGAAGGATTTAAACTCTGTAAAATAATCCCTTTCACTGAAGCACGGCACTGCTCATTTGTTAAAGCTGCCAGCATTTATTTTCACTCTGCTGCAAAATTCTTGAGCACCAGAGGACAGCAGAGACAAAGCCTTGGGAAAAGCTGCAGAAAACTCTGTAGCACCAGATGGCAGCTTTCCCTAAAACAGCGTCAGGAGGTAGAGAGAAGCAAAGAAATGAGAACCTTCTTGGGCTATAATTTCCCCAAAGCATTCAGATCATATTCTACCTTTTTTCCCGAATAAACAGTCCCTGATACAGATCAGGGAATCACTTTGGTTTTGTAGAATTAATGTAACAATACTTGGGCTTCTGTGAAGGTTCTGTAATCTCTGCTACTATACTTACATTCAGAAAGTCTCATGTTCTTGCAGACTATCTGCTTATCTAGTAAGAACTCCTCCTCTGCTTAACAGCCACTTCATCTCTTTCCTTTTTTACGAAACTCTTGATGGACTTTTCAGGGGTTTTATGTACTCTATGATAATCAACAGGAGGTATATTTAATTTTTTAGAATGCATTGGTTTATCTGCATTTATGGCAATAAACTTAGAATCTGCAGGCTTAAAAATATAAAGGAAATAGGTAACTTCATCAGAGAAGGCTACAGCAAGTTAGTTTCAGTGCAGTATACTGGTGTCCTGAATCTTTGTTCTACTTTATTAAAAATGTGCAGGGCAACATCTGTGCATAGTCAAACTTAAGAATATAAGGGACCATGTGGAGAGTAATAATAATGCTTTCATGTGCAGGAGTGCTACAATCCATAGGTGCTTCCACAAACTAAATAGTAAAACTTTGCTCAGGGCACAGTGACCTAAAATCCACTCTTAGTCTACTATTCACAAAATAATTGTTTCAGAAAGAACATTTAATAGATCAAGCTCTACTCTAAATACAAAGGAAAACCTTTTTTTAAGCATTAACAACTTCAGTGACCATATAGTTTAGTTACTCCTTCCACCTCTCTGCAGCTGACCATGAAGTTAAGAGTAAACAAAATATTACTGTCTTTTGCCTGTTAGGTTTGCGCTTACAGCCAAGGACTTCTTAAGTACATGTTTCTGGAGCTTGGTGTAGCTCCTTAGTGAGTCTGAACTGCAATGTTAACAGTGAGATCAAGGCTAACGGAGGCAGTGCATGAGCAGTCTGGAACTTCATTATGGAAGAAGCTACAACTGTATAGAAGGATCTTTCAATCCAAGGCCTTAATGCTGCAGTGAGCTCTACTGGTCAGTCCCCTACATCCATGTGAAGTTCACTGTGGGATCATCGCCTGTGACAGGTCCAGTGATCAACGTAAAAAGAGTCACTGGCTTCATTGCTTCCAGTCCAGCAACTGCCAACTCATCTTTCCCCCTGTTGTTCTCTCTCAGTCTCAGCCTTATAAACTTCTCTTTGTTTAAAACCAACACTTACCTGTTTTCTGTCTGCATCTGTTTATTGTATAGAAGTACACCACAAAAAGCTGTTGTCAGGTAAAAAATTTTCTGCCCATACATCAAAAAGGAGAAATGTTCTCTACATCTCCTTTTTTGTTCACCAGTCAAGGATTTCACACTGGTGCTGACAGTTGCTGCCAAAGCATTGCTTTTTTGGTGTACAAAGTATTAAACAGCAGCTTCCCTGCAAAAAAGATAATCTGACAACGAAGTATTTTACACCTAGCTATAGTCAGCTGGTTTTGTCTAAAGATCAAGAAATCAGAGAACTTTTGAATAGTTTCCTTTTGAAATTTCAAAAAATAGCTTAATTTGTCTTTCACAAAGAAAGACAAAAATGTCCTTTCTTGTAGGCAATGCTGGGACGAGGGAATGGAGAATCCTCAAGAAAGAAAGAGGAAGAGGAAGTTCAGAGCAGGCACAGACTGATCCCTGTTGGAAGAAAGATTTATGAGTTCTACAATGCTCCCATCGTTAAATTTTGGTTTTACACAGTAAGACATCTTTCTTGTTATATTACTACTGTTTGGACAAATACTGAAACTGGATTAAAGTCCTCTGGTGTGTTTCATTGAAAGTCTGCATCTGCATACATTGGAGGGCTTACCCATAAACAGTTTAATAAAAATCTTTTGTGGAGGTCAGCTAGCACTTGCAAACCTGTCTAAGACTTTTAAAAACTACCATTTCGTTCAGGAAATTAATGGTTAAAATTTGAATGACTGTGTATGTTTTTCTTCAAATACAATGATAAGTGGCAGTTTGCTGCAGACTGTGCTCCCAAGGAATTGGGATAGCTCCCAATAGTAAGCCCAATGGGAGGCTGGGCTGAATCATGATACCAAATTGTATAACGATTGATGAAAAAAAGAAGCAGATAGAGCATGTCTTTTCTTGGAACATTTTTTCTTTGTTCTGTTTTGACTCGTCTGCAGAGTGTCTCTCAGAGAAAGTGTTTGTGTAAGTACTCACAAGATAACAAAGACATGAGTAGCAGCTAATGTACATTTTCAGGGATAAATTATGCCAAATCAGTATAATCTCCCTGTTTTATGAAGAAACAGACCTTGCAGATGGAACAGAAAAAAAACTAAGTCATATATTTTGACTAAAGACAGTGTCAAAAACTTTACAGGGTATTCTTGCAGATAAATTAATAACTGCTATATTAAAGTTACTATGTGGATACAAAGCTTTTTGGCAATTAGTCCTCAAGAGCAGATATTAATTATTCACTATCAATCTGGAAGAAGGGATTGGAAAGGATTCCATTAGGGCCTCTCCTACATCAGGTGCTATCTGATATTTTCATTCAAAACTTGGATGATGGAGTAGAGATTAGTTATTAAATTTGCAAATTGCACTAGAATGTAGAAGGATGAGATCAAAAACTAAAATGAACACAGAAATTAATCCTTCCAGTCTCCTTGGCTAAAATATTCTATCCCGGTTCAGCTTCTGCATCATGAGACAAGTATGGACTGGTTTGAAGGACACAGAAAAACACAAGAAAGATGTTTCAAGAGGTCTGTAAAACATGACTTCAGGGGAAAGATTTAAGGAAGTGAGGTTATTTTCTCTGGAAAAAAGAAGTCTGCAGAAGGAATGTAATCGTCTTCAAATATGTGTAAGTAGCTACAGAGAGGAACAAAATGGAGTAATCTCCAAATCCTTGCTGATTAGGACAAGAAGTAATGGTTTAAATTGCAGCAAGGCAGTTCTAGGTAAGATGTTAGGAAACAGTTTCTAACTGCTCTGAGAAGTACTGCCATAAACTGTGTAAGGAGATAGTAGATTTTCCATTAGTAGTGAATTCTAAGTCTATCTTATCAAAACATATTTACACTGTGGTACACTGTTATTAATCCTGCCTCAGCACCATGGAATTAGCCAGATGATGGTGGTCCTTCCCAGTTGCATTTTCCATCATTCTGCTGAATGCACAGCAAATCACAAAGAATGCATCCTTCTGTACGTGACTTCTTGTAAGAACTATAACCTTGCTGAGATGCAGGCAATACGTCTACAAACAGCAGGAACAACTCACTTCAACAGAGACTGGACTGTGTTAGACAGTTTATGCTAGCAAATAGCTAGCAGTTTATGCATAACCAGAAAAGACTTTACACTGTAAACAGAAAGAAGCATCCTGGCTCTCCCTGTTAGTTCAATTCTGAAATGGAAGAAAAAGATCAATATTGCATTTCCATTTAGACCTGTTCCTACAGTTTTATGTCCTGAGGCAGGTCTCAGTCAAGGTCACTTATTAAAGCTGGATCTTGGTTGCACAGACCTTGAAGAGCAAATTAAGGTGGATTCTAGCTCTAGTGCTTGACCAGTTGCATATATAGGGAAACTCCTGGAGACTAAAAGCAAAACAACTTTCAGATAAGGGTTACAATTCACAGCCTGTCACACTTTTTACGATCACACAGGCAGAAACACTAATCATAGATTTCAGAAGAAATCCTCCAAATTTTACATTCCACAGTCCAAAATGCAAGAAAAGTAACTACACTTAGGGCTATCGCATGCCATTTATAATAATTATTCTGTGTCTACCTATGTGCTATTACTGTATAGCTATATCTACCTTCATTCTTAAAATACACAAGAGTGGGTTATATGTGGGGATATTTGAGTAAGTAACATTTTGTCTCAGCAGATGACCCAAAATAAACAGCTTTTTCTCAACCAAAAAAACTTCACCCTTTCTCTCTGGACATGCAGTAGTTTCAAAAGTCAACTACTCTGTTCTGTTTTGTGGCTGTTGCATTGCAAACCGTGACTCAAAGGTTTCATCTCACAGATTGCTTGAGGAGAAGAGGATGGCCTCCCCCTTTTAATTACTAACTTTAGGCTGAGATGCTACCAGAATGTAAGAGGCCGTATTTCTACCTCTTCTGAGGCAGAATAACTGCAGAGGGAATTGAACCCTGAGTAAGAGACATCTTCTAAACATCAAAACAGCTTTGCCCTAAGTTTTGTATTTTGGGACCACTTCACTTTATCATCATTTAATTATTGCAATCAGTGAGAAAAGGGGAGGGTAGTCTTCCTCTTGAAGCACTCTCCTGCTGGTACAATTTCCAGGTTTGTCCCTTACCGCGATAAGTATTCAAGTATTTTCTATAGAATGGGACAGCATCCCTAGAAGGGCAGGGAGTAACCCACTCTAGAAACTTCTTAGCAGGCATTCCTCTCCTCAGTTTCTTCAGGTACTGCCCTCAGGGGTGAAAATGGCAACCCCTAGCTCTTTGTTAAACCATGTAAAAGCAAGAAAAAGTGGGTTCAGCTACTTGTGTAGTAGTACTTTCAAAGAATCTTAAGTACCAGCATGGGCAGCTGTACTGAAGTTTGAGCACAGTGTGGGATCAGGACATCCTCCTGGAAGGCAAGAGCAAGTTACAGGTCTGGGGAGGGAGAAGGAGGGTGTCACTCACTGTCTGAAGGACTTGTTCCTTGGGTTAAAGTGGTGCAGTTTCAGCATCATTTTATTCTTAAATCAACATGCTTTTTTGGGCTGTTTGGGTTTGGGGTTTTTTTTGGCCAAGCAAAACTTTCAGCCATTTTCAGTAAATTTGAACTGGCAAAAAAAAACCCAAACCCAGAACCAAAAAACCCCAATACCTCAAAAGAAAATCAAGAAGAAGTAAAAGTATCTAGTTACATTTGGGCTCTTGCAGTTTCTGCCACCTTTGTAACCTTAATGTCCCTATGTTCTTTCATCACACTGACTGCAAATGCTCACCAAAGGCTGCTGAGTCAGACCAAATTAATAAGATTTGCTGATAATTAATAATCCACGAGATCTAAGAGGAGGAGTGTTAGGCAACAGTATCACCTGGCTTTTTGCACTATAGTAGAAGGTGTTATTTTAGCTAGGGAGGTGTGCATGCGGTTCTGCCTGCCCAGCCAGAGTTTCTACTGACTCAGCTGACACCCTAGATGCTGACCTAAGTCAATACTGCTCTCCGTTTCCTTTGGGAGTGTTAAGAGAAGACCAATCTCTAGACCTGAGCGTTGCAATCCATCATTACATACAAACTGAAAGATGTATAAGACCCTTTCCTCCTCTGTTTTATGTAAACAAGAAGCAGTGGTTCAGCTGGTCACCTCTGTACTTCTAGTTATGACCAATGTAAAGAATTCTCTTCAGTGTCCTTCAAACCAGCAGCTGGTAGAAAAGCCAGAACCCTGTGGCTTTTACACAAAGCAGAAGTTCTCTAACAAATACAACGGGACTATAAATCCTGTTCTGTGAGGTCCTGAACACTGAAATAATCCTACCCAAAAGTCTCAAGCCTATCTGCGATTGTTTCATCTTAAGTCTGACACCAAGCATACAATAGTTGTGAGTAACATGCAGTTGAGAGAGAAAAACTGTATTGAAATACAGATGTATGGAATAGGCTTTCTGCCACAGTGACTAAAATGTTCATGCACAGAACTGAATAATCTTTTCTCTCATTTAAATATGTTTTCAGATGCATTTTGTTGTAGGACTGCTGTTTGAAAGTAGACAGGCAGTTGGATTCTGGCCACTACAGACGCCAGCCACAGCCATTCGCCCTTCCTACAGCCCATGCTCCAGTGTGACAGTCAGGTTTCTCTGAGTTTTACGAACTTGATGATGCATTTTGCCTATCTTGTCTTTTTTAGACAGACCATTTCATTACATTCAGCATGTAGAAAGAAAGGAAAAAGAAACTAAAAACATAATCCACACTTTTCACTGTATCAAAAATGAGGCCAGGAGGTAGATATATTAGAGAAGGAAAAGCAAAACAGTTACATGTAAAAACTTGCAAAAAATACAAGGCAAATGAAGGCAAGGCTATGCCTGACTACTTGCTGCAGCAATGTGAGTAGGAGTAGCAGTGTTTTAGGGAGGAATCATGGTATAGGTTAGGTCAGCACTACACTGGGTAGGAAGAGCTCTAGCAACACCTAGGACCTTCTAGGCTCCAGGCAAGGATTGTGAAAAAGGATTTGGAATGCCAGAGTCAGCCTAGGCTGTGTGAACAGGGAGGAAAAAATCTTCACACAGGTAACTTAGTTTGGTAGTTGACATAGTGGTATAAGAGTTCCCATCACTGTGGGGATGATCCAGTGGGACTGCATTAATACAATTTTGTTGAGGAGGCAGATGTAGCTAGAGAAGAGGATGCTTGTGCATGTATTTTGCAGATTCCACACTGTATGTGATTTAACGCAAGCATTTTGAGACAACTCAGAACACTGATTGTTCTTTTGTCTGTTTAGCTCTGGTTACAGTGGATTAGGAATATCAAATCATACCCAAGAAACTGGCTCAGTCATATAAACAGAGTGACTATTGACATTCATTTTGTTTCTTTACAGCTGGCATATATAGGCTACTTGATGCTGTTCAATTATATAGTATTAGTGAAGATGGATCGGTGGCCATCTACACAGGAATGGATTGTCATCTCATACATTTTCACTCTGGGAATAGAGAAGATGAGAGAGGTAAAATCACTCTAACCAAGAAACACAGAATAAAAAATAAATAAGCATGGTTTTTTATTTTAATATCTGCTTTTATTATTTTTGATGAGTGGGCTTATCATAAAATTGCTTTTTTTCCACAGAAAAGCAGATGGATTGTTAAAAACACAGCACTAAAAAAATTTGTCTTCCTCCATTTCAAAATCAAGAATGTCTCTCTTTCTTTATCTTTCTCCCACGGAATTTCTCTGTTCAGATTTCTGTGTTATGCACATCTAATAGCATTCACAAGTATGAGGTGGTCTTCTGACATATCTTAAATCTCAGCTATGTTCCTAGAAATGTAGCCCAGAAACTGAAATATGGTTCTTGGAGTGGAAAAGGAGTTATGCTGTAGCAGAATGGACATGGAGACATGGTGATTGCGTGACAACCAAAAAGCCCACGTTCAAATCTGCACCCCAAATAGAGTTCATTCAAAATTTACAGCTGTTCTGTCTGTCCAAGTATCTCATGCAAAGGCTTTAAATAAAACCAGCCATAACTGGGAGAAAATTTAGATCCACATTGACTGTTGCAGCACATTTATAATAGCATTTCCCCCTTTTAATGTTGAAAATTTTTGCTATCATGTCAAGCAATAGCATGCGCCTGCCTAGAGATGCTAAAGCAGACACACAGAGCAGAGACAGAGTATTTAAGGTGGCACTCAGTCTATAGGCAGAGTGAAGTTGTTCTGCCATCCCCTGCCCCTCATGGTCTCTCGCACTTGCAGCTACTGCTGTGCCCTTTTCACTTGGCCAAATGTGCATTTATTCCACAATGGCACCAGAGGCCAAATTCAGTCCTGATGTAAGTGGGTGCGAGTCCTGTTGACCTCAGCTGAAACAGCACATTTGTACCCCTAGGCTGAATTTGTTACCATCTACATTTGTGTTTTCTGCAGCAAATGCTATTGCAAACTGGACTAAAAATGGTCTTGCAACAGCCACTTAGACTTCAAAGACAGATTTCAAACATTGAACAGTAAACTCTACATTATAACTTAAAAGAACAGAGGAAAAGACAATACTTGTGTGGCCTATAACGAGTGTACTTCACTAACCAAAAGAAAAAGGAAAATAGTGGCAGTAGCCACATGAGGACTCTGCAACACTGATGGAGACAAAGCACCTCTGGCTCAGTAGATGGGAGCCTGCTGGCAGGAATCAAGTGTGCCATTTTTGTCTAATCATTCACCCCAAATTGTCCTTTCCACAAAAGTTTATCAAGAATATTTGTCATAATGAAATTCTAAGCAGATGTTGGAGATTGTTCACAGAAGATGAGCCTAAAATTCATTCTGTAAATGAATTATAAGAAAAATTATAAGAATAGCATTCATCTTTTTAAGGAATTGTATGAGTCTGCTCAAATGTTCTCAGGCTAAATATAGAAAATTAAAACAAACAGCTTGTTAGCTCACTAAAAGCTAGGAATTATTCATAGAAATCACTTGAGGAATAGTTTCTACAATAATTCTGGAAAACAATCAAGTCTCCCAAATGATCTTGCAAATAGAGTAATGATAAATTCATAAGGTAAGATTAATTATTTTTGTGAATTACATTCTCAGCTGTGGAACTTAATTTCCAAAATAAGGTCCAAGTAGTAGCTAGTGGTTCTCTGGATTAAAGGCTAAATCCAGATTTTTATGATTATTTATTATTTCTTGCCAGTTTGATACACAGTTTAGAGTAATTGTCTTTAAATCTACAGCTTCTTTAAATGTGAATTTTCTGATGAAATTCTCCATATTTCTCCCTCTATTCCAAGACTTTAAGTAGGGTCAATAAATTTGAAACAACTGAAAGATATACATATATTTCTTCTGATTTCATGGAGATTTTGGAGTAAGTGAGGCTTTCATCCTTTTTCTTTTAAGTATCTTGCACATAGATACAGGCTAAGAATGGTTGTAATGGAAGATTTCTCAAAAAAAATCAGAGAGTACATGAGATATTTAAATGATAGGAGTCTATCAGCTTTGGTTTTCGCCTGTGTGGCATATATCCGTTTACTATATATGTTTTCAAGCTTAAATTATGACAGCTCAGCTCCTTTCCTCTCCATGTCCTCTGTCCTTTAGATATTGATGTCAGAGCCTGGGAAACTGTTGCAGAAAGTAAAAGTTTGGCTCCAGGAATACTGGAACGTTACTGATCTCATAGCTATCCTCCTGTTCTCCGTCGGGATGGTGCTCCGTCTGCAAGATCTGCCACTCCGGAGCGATGGCCGAGTGATATACTGTGTTAACATCATTTACTGGTATATAAGGTTACTAGACATCTTTGGAGTAAACAAGTATTTGGGACCATATGTTATGATGATTGGGAAAATGGTAAGAGAAGTTAGTGTACTCCTCCTATGTTTTACCAGCATGTTCTTGACTCAATGTCTTTGGCTAATGACATCACTGCAGATTTGTCTGTATTTTTTTTTACACATTAGCATTTTCATGTAAGCTAGAAACCAGTGCCTTATTGAATCAAAACCTCAGCATAAACCCCCAGAATTAATCACTAGACTCTCCCTGTTCTGTTCATAGAATCATAGAATCATAGAATCATTATGGTTGGAAGAGACCTCAAAGATCATCAAGTCCAACCATATACCTGATGCCACCATGCCCGCTAAATCCACTAAACCATGTCTCAAAGCACCACGTCTAAACTTTTTTGAACACCTCCAGGGACAGTGAGTCCACCACCTCCATGGGGAGCCCGTTCCAATGCCTAACGACTCTTACAGTGAAGAAGTTCTTCCTAATATCCAGCCTGAACCTCCCCTGGTGCAACTTGAGACCGTTTCCTCTTGTCCTATCCTGTTAGATGATGTATTCCTTGTCTTTCTCAGGGATCTCTCTTCAACAGTAAAGTCATCCGTCTTACACCTCTGTGCCTCATTTGCAAAAAATACAAACGATGCTAATTCTCAACTAGTTGTAAAGAAGGGTGGTTTGTTAAGGTAAAAAAAAGTGTTTGGTACCTTGAGACTCTCAGAGAAAGTGTGTTGTAATAGGCATGGTATATTCAAAACTATAATGGTTATGATTAAGACTGTGACCTTCCTATCGTTTGCTCCATATCCGTATGTTCTTCCATCTTTCCTCCTCAGGTGTGTCCTTGTGAGATGAGAAATCCATCTGCATAACTGCAGTCTCTGTTGCCTGGCCACATAACATGTACACAACATGGCAGGAGTCTGAACAGTTTATGTAATAGTAAATGCATACAGGAGGAACTGAGGGATATTTGCTGCCAGATGTATAACTTTTTACTTTTTGCCTTTTTCTTTTTATGTTTCAGTAGAAATGTTGCATTAAAGCAGCATTTTGCTCATATGAGTTAAAGAAAATGGCTGAGTTTACAGATGCACATGCACATGTCCCTGATATTTGAGTACCTGCACATGTGGCTAATATACATGCTCATGGTTTATATGCAGTTATGCAGCCTTTGTTGTGTAAATTATGGCTGTTTCATGCATTCTACCGTTTAAGATTTATTTTAAAAAGAAATAGAATTAAAAAACCTTGAAGATGGCATTCAGTAAAAAAAAAGAGTAAACTGAATATTAACTTTTGTAAATACAAATACTGCTGCTGTCTGATTGCTTTGTGGACAATAATCAGCGAGTCCAAATAGGCTGTCTGTCATGTTTGCCTTACCATGGCCCTTAAAGAAAAGACTCAGCCACCCTCCTTCCTCACCGTCATAGAAAAAGGGGACATATAAGAATGCATGGACTGCAGTCCCTCCTTGCTATTACATTTGTCACAACAAGCTCAGTGATTCTACGCAGGTATAAAACTGAAATGCAAAATATGTGTCCAATTAGGCTCCGTACACAACAGGTGACCGGAGATCCACTGTCTTATCCCTTCAATCTACCAGCTTTCAACTCCAAACCCACAGTGGTGGGTTTGACAAAGAAAGAACAGCCTACTAAAAAAAAAAAAATAATAAAGGAGAGAGAAGGAAAACACAAAAGAAAGTGGTTGTTGAATCATTATGTCCTGCAAACAGGAATTTGAAGTGTGCTACCTGCCTTCAAGTAAGGCAATAGGATGTTGATAAGAGGGATTTTGCAGAGCTCCAGAGTACAGAGGTGAAAACACTTAACAGTTCTTTCTGGAGGTGACTGTAAAAGGACAGCAGGACAAGAGAAAGGACCAAAGGCCAAAGGGAAAACACTGCATTATCACCTGTTTCTTTCCTGCCCCATCTGGACTATGCCCCTCCATCAGGGGATCTGGTGGTCACCAGGGCTTACAGAATACATAGTGCATAAAACACCTGAAAAACAGCTACCTTCCTACTCTGTTGTATTTTTCATAGGTGCCATCCACAAAAAGTTTCAGAGCTATGGTGCTAGCAAAGGCAGCCTGAAAACCAGTTCAATAATAAACAGATTGGCCATGAATAACGAGCTTCTAGCAGTCAGTGTTACAGATGGCTGATAGGAGCCCAGCTTCACCAATAGTATAAACAGTATATTTATTTTGCTTCTGGGGTTAACACAGAAAGGAAGTGGTTGAAATCAGCAAAATAATATAATTTCTATTTCTTTGTCATCCTCACATGTGAACAGATCAAGCCTAACTCCACTTTCTGTGCAAGACAAATGCAGGAAAATCACTAGCCTCTGTAGGCTCAGCACCCACTCAGAGGGTGTTGAATTTAGCTACTAGAGTACTCTGAAGGTGTGGGCAACTGTTAAAGGGGGCAAGTTCTTTTATTTTGTGCCTTCCTGTTATTTGATTTTCATACCTCATCCAACTTTCCATGCACTCAGCAACTCTGACACATCCACTTTGCCCACGCATGCAATGCCCAACCAGTTTGAGTTACACAAATTTGCCTCTTGCATCTCTTTTCTGGCCAACTTATTCCCCCGTGTAATGGCCAGCCCATTTATATCATGCACAGACTTCCCTGGGAGTTGCACCTGCTTGCTCCAGGCTGCAAAAGGCTCCTCTGTGTATTTTTGTTTAAATCACATGTCCATTTACCTGCTTGGGTTCATTCTTTTTCATTTCACAGTCTTGCAAGTACCATTCAGTACTATGGAGAACATCAAGCTGGTTATACATATTTCTACAGAGTAAGCCCATCACAGCTACTGAGTTCCTCAACAGACCATATTTAACACCTGAGCTTTTATCCTGTGCTTCTATTGTGAGTAATTTTTAGACTCAGGAGAAAAAGACGACTCTTTGCATCTTTCCAATGTTAAGGAACTTTCTCTTCACCTGCCTCTACGCTATATCCAACCAAATAGCTGTAATACGTTTTACCTCTGAGCACTATGAACAAATACGCAAGTAAAATTAAGCACGGGGCAGGAATAGGCTTGAGTGGCTTAAAAACAATGGACTAAAGCAAAGGTGAAGATAGGAGGAAGCTGAATGGCCAAGTTTAGTAAGACCTACTAATTTCAGTAATGGAATATGCTTATTATAATGTGCTTTTCTGATCTCTGCACAGTGACAGGTTTACTCCCCTTTCATTTGGGATTGAACTGAAATCACTGTGGCATGTCAAGAGTCAGAGGTGTATAGTTCCCTTACTGAGGGGGAATGTCTATATTTTCTTAGCTTCTCTGCAAATAAAACAGGGGAAATGGAGCCAGCTTATTTATAAAACTGCACCACCAACTCCTCGTTATATCATTTTTTGAAATATGTGACTGAGTTCTTCAGGATGATTGAAATGGCCATTGCTTTGTTAAAAGAGCAGTTGTAATTTGACCCTACAGGCCAAAGGGCCTGATACAACGCCCATTAGAGTCAGTGGAAACTTGCCCATCTATTTCATGGATTTCAGACAAGATACTGAGGTTTTAGAAAGATACTCAATTGAAGAAGGGAAAAGCTAGTGTGGCAGCTTCAATAGACAATAGCACTGAAAATTTTATTTCTTGCAACTTGAGGTCAATCCTGTGTGATTTTTGATCAAAAACATTAGAAGAGCTTAAGAAATTGTCTTAAACTGCCACCCAATACTCATTATGTCTATTTGTTTGCATGACATTTTAAAAAAGGTATTATGTTACATCATATCATGTTATATATTTCTACCTGAAACAAAGTTTCATCACAGAAGAAAGGAGGAACCATGTTTCATCTCCAAATTCCTTCCTTAAAAGCAGTAAGAAATAAACGTGATTATGCAGCTTTCCCATATCTGAATGCTCTCTGAGGTACAATGAGCTGCAATTCCTCTTCAATCATGTTTTTTTGAGAGACTAATGCTCTGAATAACATAGGAATGTTGGTGATTTACTTGTCTGTTTTTTAATTCTTTAAGGCATTTATTTTCCACTCTCATGATGCCAGGGTTTTTTTACTTTCTTTCCTGCATTTTTTAAGGACCTCAAGACTTATGTTTTCCCCTGTGTTTTTTCACTTGTCCCCATCTCCTTCTTTCCAGCTCCTTGAGTCTCTCCTACCAGAGCCCTGCCCTGCAGGTGTCTTTCTCCTACAACATCTCTTCCAGTAAATGTGAGAATATCCTTTTCTCTTTGCTCCTCTGTATCCTTCTCTTTTCTCTGTTAGATACTTTCCCAGTGTTACTTTGAACTCAGGTCTCTCTCCTTGTGCTTTAAAACCGAAGAACCCCTGCAGCACTGCCAGATCCACCTGCTGCGAATGCATCCCCACTTCCACCAGCTCTTGCCATGAGCAACCCTGCTCTTGAGCTGCAGCTCCTCAGGTCCCCCAAGGAGCGATAAGGCCACCGGTTGAGGTGCAGATTGATTGCATACCTGCCTCCCAGGGAAGGCAGAATGGAGCTCAGCCAGAAAATGCAGAGACTGAAGGGATTAAACTCACAAGGTTTCGAGGAGTTTTGGGTCAAGTTTTAGCCAGAGACAAAAGTTACACCAAAAGCTCTGTTGTAACAAGCGGTACAGCTAAAGACTTATAAGTAAACCTGTAACTAGAGGTTTTAAAGGGATCTTAGCAGGGACCTTACAGGACTCCCATTTTTTTCACATTCATTTTGGGTTATAAAGCATCTCTACTGTACCTGCTTGATGCCTTGCTGTGCTCTCTAGAGGGGCTTTTCTAGCACAACTCCTCTTCTAATCTTCAGCCTCAATTCATCACCTCCTAGGACTGCTGTCCCACTTTTTCCTGAAACATTTTGAATGGGTAAACACTGTTTGCAAGCACTAATTAAACTTGTGCATATGCTAATGAGGCCTTCAACAATGGAGAAGAATAGAGTTGAGTGTCTGTGTTATCTGCTTTTTTTTAAAAAAAATATGGCCTGTGTCAGACTCCCCCACCATGCTGATTTCTAATCCAGGCAGTATCACAGCTTTCTTTTCTCACTGGTTACTACCATGGTGTCCCTTATGTTGCAGTAACAGGCTGTTCTGCCACCCGTTACTCCTTATGTTAGATGCAGCTTCCTTCCTTTGCTCCAAGACAACGACTACCAGTGAATAAAATAATCCATGTCAGCCGTTTTGTTTTGGTACAGTTGCCACTACGTGCCTATAAACAATGCATCATCTTGTGACCCTTGCCCAAACCAGGCTGCTGATTCCAGTGAACCTATATTCTTGTTCAGGCAATTGGTGTGACCAGATGGTATCTTGTATTTTCAAACCTATTCATAACATTTAAATTGTTCTTAAAAGCAACAATAGGTAAAACCAAGGACACAATAATACTGCTTCACTTCTTTGAAAATGAAATTTGTTATGTGTAAAACTGAGAATGACTTTTCAAAATTTGTTTTTGAACATTCTGTTTCTAAGATTTACAAACTTTTTTTGCAGCATATAATAATAGGAATATGGACAGAGAAGTTCCTCTAATTCTTGTCCCTTCTCTCTCTTTCTCCCTCTTTTCCTGTCATTACATTCAGATGATAGACATGATGTACTTTGTCATCATCATGTTGGTGGTTTTGATGAGCTTCGGTGTCGCAAGACAGGCTATTCTCTTCCCCAATGAGGAGCCTTCGTGGAAACTGGCGAAAAACATTTTTTACATGCCTTACTGGATGATCTATGGGGAAGTGTTTGCAGACCAGATAGACCGTAAGCAAGTTTATGATTCTCATACTCCAAAGTCAGGTATCCAACTTTGATCAGATGATGTCCTATTAGATCATGTGTGTGTGCTCAATAAATGGCTCAGGATAGAGGAACTCCTTCATCGCAGAGAATAGTCACAAAAATATGTTTTCAGCTAATATTGGGGTGTCAGTTTCAGAACATGCTTCTGGCATCACTTTGTAATTATTTAACCAGAAATCTGTAATGCTAACTTATCTTGCGTATAAAGAATGTTTTAAATGGTTCCTTTTTACCAGTTGAGTGATGAGGATACCTTCCCAGGTATCCACCATGAGTTCGTTGGTATGCCTGGGACATAAAAATCGCTTCTTTTTTTCTCATCCATTGGTTTGATTTTAGACCTAAGTACTTTTTACCTAACTTCGTACTGAGCATCAAGTCTAATAATCCTGGGTTAGACCTTCAGCTCCTGCACTTCATGAGGATCTAATCCGATGTGTTTTCTCTGTTATCTACTCACTGCCACCACCTTTACATTAAACCATGTGATGTAATTTTTTGGGGACAGTAGATCCATTATTAGAATTATACTTTACTAATTTGTTGGAAAGCAAGACCGTGCTCATGTCAGTGCAAACAGAATGAAAGCCAGTATTTCGTATACTATCTCCTCAGGATTCATTTGGCTGGTGATCAGGAAAATGCCAGTTTTATATTTAAATTAAACGTCCTGGTGCCATCCGCTACATTATGCCAAAGGAGAGAGGTGGTCATGAGAAATGATGTGGTAGATGAACAATCTAAGAATGACAAACAACGTGTCTTTAACAAACACTGACATGCAACTGATGATCATCATTCCTACTTAAATATGCATAAGCCTTGGCAGCATTTAGAATTGAGTATCTTTTCCAGTGGCAGATGGCATCCATTAAAGCTCTGTTTAGGATATTCCTTTTCATCCTATGTACCACCTTAGGAAAGGGCAGTGTTTTCATAGTTTATCTTCATAATCAACACTAATCAAGGTGTTGATTTTTCCTGAGCTGGTTAAGGTAATAAACGTATCTATACCACCAATAATACCCACAATTTAAGAGTTTCAGATGGACAGATGTATACATATCACATGGCAGATATTTCAACAGTTCCATGTTCATTTCTTCTTCCTGGTTAGCACAGAATCATTGCTGTGGATACAGATGAAACCTCTTTTTTGTGTTTACTTCTCCACTTTGTTTTCAGAGGTAGCATGGCATGCAAGGAAGTAAACAAATACCTAAAATCACAAAGCTTCTCACCAAGTTTAGCTTTTTACCTAATTCGCTCATCTTTACCCTTTTTCCTTTTCTTTTCTTTTTAAAAATTCATTTCATTCCAAAGGCATAATGGCTGGGGATATAAAACTTAATCTTGCTCCAAAAGCATAATAGATGGATAAAGGTTTATCCCATCATGACTTCCTTCCACAAGTAGAATTCTATCTGTCCCTCTACAAATGGCCATTTATTGATATTGTAGTAAGTAACTACCATAGTGCAACAAACTTGGCAATTGGCTGAATAAAAAGTTATTGGTATTTGTTTTAATGAAGCGCTGATTGTAGTTTAGAACCTCAAAACCTAAGAAACTAAAGTGTCTTTGAATGAAGCATCGTTTTTAAGTAGGAAAAGAGGGTGGCAGGCTCCATACCCTTGCATGAGGATTTAGGGACAGTCTTGTGTGTTATTCAGATGCCCAACATTTAAACCTTGCAAAAAGATGCAGCGTAATTACTTCTGAGGCTTAGGAAAAGCAAAATTCCTGATGGTTTCAACTATGCTGTAAGCATAGACATGTTGTTGTTCTGTGTCAAGGAAACTAGGAGTTGCGGCAAAAGCGGTGATGCCAAAATGAAAAGCAGCACCTAGTTCCTCCTTCCTGAAAGACAGACGATGCACGGAATTAGAATCTGCCACTCTTTCAGCACAAACTGTGTGCAATATGTCATGTCTGTCTGAGGCTTGGTTGTCTCAAAAATGTTACCTCTGGAATAGACTGGGAGCATAAGCAAATGGTTGGTGATGTTGTTATACAATCAAAATTACCTGATTGGCACCCAAAAGGTTTTACTAGTATACTTACATTTTTTCACTATTTGGAAATTATTTGTTATATATATTTTCCAAGTTGTTCTAAGCTAAATCAGCCACAATATTCATGTTAGAGTACATAGTGTTTGTACTTTCTCAAATAAGATAAACGTTCTAAAGTTGTTACGTTACATCTAAACTGCAATTGAACTTTATAGCTTGGAGTACACTTTTTTGTTACTACTATTTTAGCAAACCAAAAGGTTTCTTTGTGGTTTTCTTTATATTTTGGTGTTTAATATTGCTACATTATTTGCAAGTCTGGGATTCAGCAAAAGTGCTGGTCTTGGAAGTGCACGCACATTTGAGCCACGCTCCTGGAGATTATCCTAGTGTCTGAGAAATGTACAAAAGAAGTATGCTACTCTAAAATTTCTAACTTGCTTTTCTTTCTTTTTTCATTTTCTGTTGATTTGTGAAGCATGCCATTCAGGCTGACCAGATATAATGTCTGGATCCATCTCATCAGCTGGTAGCCCGTCCATCCACTGAGTCTACTCTGATTTTTATCTCAACACACTACACTGTTAAAACACTAGCTAAATGCCTCACTCTAAAATAATGCATGTCATATACATTTATATTTTTTACCCATAGTTTCTGTATTCATTTCATTTTTTAAGTACATATGTTAACTGGAGTATGCATTAGTGTCCTCTTGGCATGTGATCTCATCTTCAACTCAAAAGTGGGGACAGAATTATATCCTCACTTCTGGGAGTATGAACACACTATTCAGTGGTGTCATTTATTACCAGTGATGTACATAAATACCACACTCCTACAAATTCCTATCAACCAATTGTAAAGGGGGAAAAAAAAAAAAGCAGACTAAATCTTCTAGAACTATGTTCAAATTTTCAGATAAATTCAACAAAAAGAGCCAAACCGGTCTCAAAGTAGTTTTTTTCAGACTGACAGTTCATCACAGCCATGTTAGCTGGCGGAGGAAGGGGGATCCAGGTCAGGGAACCGGTGATGGTATATGCAACTGTCTCACTTTTAGACTGTCTTTCCTAATCCAGCTGAGCCTTGCGCTGCCCCATGGGATCCATGCGGCAGCAACCAGCTGCTTAACTGCTTTAGTGAACACCTGTCTGGAAGGGAACCCACAAACACTGTAAAATCTCTCTCTCAGTTCACCTCACTTACTCTGGTGCTATTGCTGCAATTTTAGCCAAAAAATTCACAACACAGTTGTCGCATGCAAAGGACTTTGTTTACACCTTACCAAGCTATCTGCCTCTCCAGAATACTATGGATACAGAAGAGGATTCAGAAATACTGAAGAGGAAATGATTATTCAGGGAGGGAGTTTGCTTAGTAAAAAATGTAGATAGATGACATAAATGGCAACTTGAGAAATGGCAGTCACCTGTAGAAGATCAGCAGTGGTCCTCACATTTTCCCATATTCAGAAGGCAAAGCAACTGAGAGTGCTGATAGCCGACATGGGTTTGGGTTTTTTGGTTTGAAGGTTTTCAGATTTGCTTGGTGTCTCACATGTCAGATTTGCATCTGGATTTTCTTTCCAGCTGACAGTATTTCAAGTGCCATCTGGAATCTGAAGATCAGTCTGAGTTGTGTTTGTTCCCTGTGCCTACTCCCTTATTGGAAAAACCTACATAGTTTAGGAGAAAAAGATGAGGCCTCCTTCTCTTTCATTTGAATTGGAGGAATGCCAAGTAACCAGAATGCAGTTGCTGCAGAAGATGAGAGACAATTATACACAGGTTATAACTATCCAATGAACTTAAGAGGAAAGTATAATTACTATAAAAGACTTTTTTTCAAATCTTCAAATTTTTTAGTCTGTTAGATTTATTTATTCTTTAAAGTTCTTGGAGGTTTCTTAGAATAAATGAAAATTATATACAGTAGTTCTACACAATCTTAGAGGTTTCACGCTTTTCATGTCTCCATAGGAGCTTCCTGTAAGTGCTGTCATTTGCATGGATCTTTCTGGAACTAGAATAAACAGAGCACCTTTGCACAAAACAGAAGAAATCATACTTGTGCTTTTTTTTCTTTTCATCTGTATTGCAGCTCTGCAGCACAGGCAGTATTCTTAGCATTGTTACCCAAAGGCAGAGGATAAAATTTGTGCACAGCCTACACACCATTTTGAAAGTCTCTCTGGCCTGAGTTGCAACAGTATTCCCCTTCCTAGTACTCCTCTGAGGTTATATTTTGGGTTCCATTTGGTTGGATATTTTTAATGTGAGGAGAGGAAGAGGGAGAAAGCACTAGAGAGAACAAGAAAAATGCAAGGATTTACTATAAATTATGAATAAAATACCAGCAGATTGCAGAAGTGCTTCAAAGTCACTTTTAATGTGGCTGAGGGCAAGAAGTAACATGTAAGGTCATGATGCTGTAGTTAAAGCAACTTTTTTGAAGTAATGAGACACTGTTCAATTCCCTGGATGATTCTGCTGATGAACGGAGCAGTGGTGTGAGATTCAGTGTTCCCAGAGTTCAGTATTTTCTCTGTCAGAGAGGGAACGGACAGCCCTAGGCAGCTCACTTAGCCTTTTTTCAATATTTACCATTCTGGCAAGCTGGTCAGGTTGCTTAGACATTTGATTAAAAGTTTATAAAATGCTTTCACATCCTTTGGGTTCAGTACAAATCAAAATTGGAAGGTGCCTATATATACTCATAAACAAGGTGATGAAAGTGCCTTTAAAATGTACAGACTTGAATGAAAAAAAAAGACGGGTTGGTTTGTTAGTTAATACTCACTTAATTGGTTTCTTTATTCTTTCAAATGGTGATCATATGAACCCATTCTGCAGTTTCTTGTGATTTCAAACAAATCCACCTGTATTGTAGAAGTGGTATCCATTTTTACATTAGAAGTTTTCATCAAAGGCAAAAAGTTATCTGGTAATAAAGCTGTTCAGTAACGCACTTTCCTCTCTCCGTTATTTCCCACAACTACTTTGGAAGGGTGCAGCTGGCGGAAGAACCATGATGCAGAAATTTGCAAGCATTGTTTCCCAAGCCCTCCACCCAATACACAGTAAAAATGAGCAGTGCCCATGCCATAGCAATAATTACAGCAGGGAAACAAACTCTTCCTGAACTCTGCCACCACTTTAGGCCTGAAACACAGAGAGGCATGGGTTACTGCTGTTTGCTTTGCAACTATTTGGTAGCCAGGAAAGAGGAAGGGTTATGTGTGTAGCGGGAAAGGTCCATACAGGAAACTCTAAACGGAAGCCAGGAAGGAAAAATAAGCATGGGAGGAGATTGTGAAAAAGGAAACAAGAGATGCCCAAAATATGTACATCCACAGAAGTCAGGATGCAATATTTGAGAGCTGAGTGAAGTTAATGTATGTAGTTGAAATTAAAACTCCAGTCATTTATTATTTTCTAAAGCCCGAGTTCAGGACATAATGTCCAACCTTTACCCAATGGCCTGTATGTATCAGACTGATTGGGTTTTTCAGTTACGTGAAATAAGCACATATTAATGCCAACAGAATTTACTTCAGCAAAACACTTCACTAGAATTAAGTACTCTATGTATTTTTTGTTAAAGCAAGGCTGCAATGTAAAAAGATGAGTATGATTTCATACATGTTAAAATTGTGCTTTGAAAAAGTTTGTTATGATGATATGTTGCTGCACATACTACAAAAAATACTGCATTTCTCCAAACATAATTAAAATGGTCAAACCGTGTTACACATGAAAGGCAGGTGGGGATCCCTCAGGGACGAGGCACAGCACTCGGTGAGTGAAAGCTCTGGCTTCATGGAAAGCGTGGCGTTACCAGGGTGGGAGCCCCATGACACCAATGCTAAACAAATGGGGACCTGACGCAGCGGAGCCCTGCTCCGGAGCGAAGCTCAAGGGAAAGCACCACAGGGGTGGATAATAAAACTTGTGCTGCTTAACATATCATACATATGCACTGTCCTGTTTTGCTCATTAGTGAGCTCACTGATGTAATGAAGTTGCTGTTGTCCACATTCTGAGATCCACAGCTGGCTATGACATTGGCACTCGTGCAGGGGTACATGCAGATGTGCGGGAAGGAAAGTACCCCAGGTTACCATAACAAGGAGATAAGACATGCTTGGGATTCTGCATACTTGGATGGGGGAGGTGAAATGTCCTGGGTTACCATAACAAAGTCTTCTTGAACACTACAAGCAGAATTCTAACTTCTCAAATGTAAACAAGAATCTTCATTATCTAAAAAGAATACCATTACTACTTTTAGCCTCCTGCCAGTGTCCTCTGTCCTTTTTCAGAGGCAGAAACTTCTGTTTCTGGTTTACTGGGAGTAATGTTTTTAAACAAGCAATTTAATAGTGGGAAAATTTAGAATTAATGTTGTATTTTAAAGATAGAAGAAAATGTTCAGTGATATACAGTGGAACACAGGCTTCTGCATTTTGGACACACATCATACATTTTCTCATGCAGTTGAAGACGTGAAGGTTAAGTGGCAGCTTAGTTCTTCACAAAGTAAAGCATGAGATTAGTATTCCCTTATTATTTAAAAACTGTTCCCACAACAGAATGTTCAAAAGATAATAACTTTTGCAAATCTTCAGGACGAGCTGAATATCTATGCATGTATAGAATAGAGTATGGGAACCTGTCTTTGTAGGAAGTCTAATTTGGCCATCACTGTGGGCATGAACTGACAGGGATACATTAATGGTATTCTAAATACTCTGTTGCAGGCATATAAAGTTGGAGAAATCATTTTTGTCTGGGAAGTTATCAAAGCTAATTTATTTCTTTTTTTAGATTAAATTCTCTTTTTTTAATAGAAAAAATAGGATAATAGAATTGTGACCAGACTTTGAACTGAGTTTTTGGTCTCAGCCTAAGGTTTAAAATAAGCTTTTCACCCATTTCTCTCATTGCTACAAAAGGCATTATTTCTTCTGCTCTTCAGCACACAAAAGGACAACAGGTTTCATCAACTGATACAGTGATTGTTCCATTACTGGTGAAATCATGATGGGTTTCTGTACTGTGTTGCATTAGACTTTGTAGCTCTGAAGCAACATGTGAGCAAGTTCGTGTTTTCACACAAACAGTAACGTAACTCTCACATTGAGGCTGACAAGAAGTATTGAATGTCCCAGTTTCTGCTGGGTGAATGCTGTGTGCACATAGCCCCTCACTCACAGCAGCTCACAGATGGCATTTTGAACATCTAAATGAGACTGTGGCTTGGCATAGTGCCGGAAACTTGAAATCAGCACTAACTTAAAACGATCTGCAAGGCAGTGCTTTCTGAAAAATAAAGAATGACATATTCTCAGCCTGTTCCAGCAATAAAATGTATTTTTGTAAGCAGGAAGGAGTAGTGACACCATGGGTCCAGACACAACAGAGCTGCTTGAAAAAGCAGTATTGCTTGTATTTGGTTTTGCCATTTCTTTTTACATAAGTTGAATATTTGGGGAGAGTTCTTGTTTGAAGCTGATGCATCATGTATTCTTCTGTCCTATATGGCTATAGTATTTGTATATGTAATAGCCTAACAGCTACATGTAGTGCCCAAAACCAAGTACCCAAATCACGTGTAATATCATATGATTGCCAGTACAGACTCCACAGCTGAATCCCATGCTCTGTGACCCAAGTTCAGAAGGACCTTTTTAAGAAGAAGTAACAGTTTGATAGTGGAAATCATGGATTTGTTGACATAGGGTGGGATTTTACAAAACATATGGCATTGGCAAACTTTGTTCTGTGAAGCCAGTGGGAAACTCTCATTGATATCGGCAGGAACTGAGCCAGTGCTGAGCACTTTGAAAATTCCTCACTTACACTTCTTTTTGATGGGGACGAGGGGAAGCTAGCTGTAGTGCTGCACAAAATTTACTAAGATGGTTTGTACAGGTAAGCTGCTGCTTTAATTATTTTCTTTAAGAGCTGATTACAGAAGTAGACTACAGGCTAGAGGCTAGCCACCACTTAGGATTGAGGCTAGAAAGACATAAATTGAACCCATGCTTGCAAATGCAGATCACCCACCAGGGCACATGAAGGCATGTAAAAAAAGAAGCAAGGAAAACTACTTCACAATGTTTTCTCTCCCCTTGCTTCAGTTCTACAACATTAACACTGAGAACGTTTTGGTTCCAAAGCATCCAGGGAAGAAACAGGTGGCAACTCTGCTGCCTACATGTCCCTTTACCTGGTACAGTAAAGGCTTGGTAATCTCCCCCACTGTTTCTAGGCATGCAGTCAAAAGTCCTTAATAGCAAAGGGTCATTATAAGTATGTCCCAGAGGGGCTCAGGGCAGTGCAGTGTGCAGCAATGAATGCCTACTCTTTAATTTACTTTCATGTGCTTCTTTTTCCTTATGCTATTTATCACATCCCTTTCCATCAATCAAAAAAGACGAAGTTTCACCATTAAAAAAATAATTTGTAAGCTTTTTTTCCAGAATTAAACCTTTTGATCATTTTATTTGCACAGCTACTAATTACTACCAAAGTACCATGATATTTTAGTTGTGTGCAACCAAGCAGCTTACTCACACGAGGCATGTCTCCTGCAATTTCTGAGGGGAATATTTTGATATTCGTGGCAAACAACATACGATAACAAGAACTGCAGCTTGTAAAATCTGTGATAGCAAGTGCAGACTTCTTGAGGGGAGTATCAATGCCACTGTTATTTAGAAGATATTGCTTTGGCAGGCAGGACTTCATAAATATTTCAGTATTTCTGTAAAAAGAACTGAAAAAAAAAGATTCATTCCCATTTTGCATTTTTTTACATTTTTATTCCCAGCTCCTTGTGGTCAAAATGAAACCAGAGAAGATGGCAAAATAATCCAGCTACCTCCCTGCAAGACAGGAGCATGGATCGTTCCTGCCATCATGGCCTGTTACCTCTTGGTTGCAAACATCCTTTTGGTGAACCTCCTCATTGCTGTTTTCAAGTAAGTTGCAAAGTATGGACTTGGGGGGGATGGACATTATTCACAGCCTAAGAAGTCTGCTAAGCTGAAGACTTCAGCTGAGACACATTTTCAGAGGATGTGAG